TCAACTACAATTGTAGCAAGTACATCCACTTCGACAACTCCAATAACCACTACATCTGTAACTAGCGCGGCCGCATCGACAACGCAAGAAGCACCCACTAGCACACCCACAACAACGCAAGTATCAACTACAATTGTAGAAAGCACGTCTATTTCAATAACGCCAATAACAACTACATCTATAACTAGCGCGGCCGCATCAACAACGCCCACTAGCACGCCCACAATAACGCAAGTATCAACTACAATTGTAGCAAGTACATCCACTTCGACAACTCCAATAACCACTACATCTGTAACTAGCGCGGCCGCATCAACAGCGCAAGAAACATCCTCTAGCACGCCCACAACAGCGCAAGTATCAACTACAATTGTAGCAAGTACATCCACTTCGACAGCGCAAATAACGACTGAATCTATAACTAGTGCGGCCGCATCGACAACGCAAGTAGCAACTACTAACACGCCCACAACAACGCAAGTATCAACTATAATTGTAGCAAGCACATCTACATCGACAACGCAAGTAATAACTACATCTATAACTAGTACGGCCACGCCGGCAACGCAGGAAACAAACACACCGACTCCGACAACGCAAGTATTAACAACAATTGTAGCAAGCGCGTCTACTTCGACAACACAAGTAACAACTTCACCTATAACTAGTACGGTCACGCCGGCAACACAAGAAACAAATACACCCACTCCGACAACGCAAGTATCAACTACAATTGCAGAAAGCACATTCACTTCGACGACACAAGTAACAACTACATTTATAACTAGCACGGACACACCGACAACGCAAGAAACAACTACAGTTTTGACAGAAAGCACCACGACCATCTCGACATCGACATCATCATCTGATACAAGTTCAGGTAGTTCAAAAAATTCATTAGCTTTCTCGTCTCGGTCACAAACTTCCTTGTCAGAAATATCAGCCCTTTCTAAATCAATTCTACTTCCTCTCAAATTCAACTAGATACTACTTCATCAATAAAAGTCAATAAACTGACTTCTACATCTACATCTACCGTTACTATTCATTATGATCCTCCTCCATCTCAAACAACCACAACCGTAAACGTTTGTAGTGATGACAACTGCCATATGGAAACTTCAGCGTAAGTTATTTATACATTTCTTTTTTCATATTTAACACGATTGCTAAATTCCTTGATAAACAAATTTACAGGAGCGTGACAGGACAAATAAGAACTACCACCCTATCACCTAATCCAATTAGTGATAGTAGTGATAGTACTTTTAGTGCCGCCCCATTGACAACGATAACACCAACTACCTCCGACTCCAAGATTCATCCTACCACCACTAAATTTGTCACCTCCACGTTTTACTCTACCATTACGAAAGTCTACCCGGGTTATACCACTACTAAATATACAACTTATGATGGAATTACGACATCATATGAAACATATTATCCACCAAGTACTGTGATAAGTCTCGTTTTAGTAACGGCTGCCGTACCTGTTGAGGCTCAAGCTCAAGTCACTACAGAAGTCATAACCGGAGGATGCGATAAACTTAATTGGCGAAGAGAAACGTTGATTAGTGTGATTATGAGTTTATTGGTTATTGGAATCTCTTTTAGTTGCAGTATCATAGCATAGATTGCCTAGTCAAATTAAA